TGTATTTTCTCATCCTACATATACTAGGGTAAATTATTAGATGATGATTGATATATACATCATTACAGCCTAACTTTTATGTAATGTTTTATCTTAATTTTGAAATACATAACAAAATCATATCACTAGTTTACATGCATGTAACGAAGTATGTAACGAACAATTAATACTTTTCATTAGTCAAGTAGTGTTATAAATGACATGGCTCCATGTATATATATAAGACGCCAAGGTTGAATTGAGTACTAGGGTATATATGTATGTATGTCAAAGACAATTAAAACTCATTAATTAAGGCATTTGTATTAGGCAAACTTCCTCGTAAATGTAAATTAAAGCTTAAGGTTCCCTCATTAGGTTTGAGCCAAAAAATTCCCATCAGTTTCACATAACAAGCACTAATGCAAAAAGACTATGAAATTTGTTTTTATTCAAAAGATGGCTTCATTTACTTTCAAACAATAAAAAAGATGGCTTCATTTATGTAAATTTCGATTGTCGTTGTCATATCCTATTGATCAATATAATTATCTTTATGCATGCTTTTAGTTACTTTGTTTCTTTGCCACTACGGTTATATAAGAAAGACTTCACTTGCATAAGTCAAGCTTTTAAATTTAACATTTACTTTCAACTAAGAAGAAGAACGCCAAGAAGTGAGGTAGGAAGTTTGAACCTTCAACTAATTTGTTAACGTCTTTTACCCTACCACTAAAAAGAGAGGATAAATCTCTAAATGCTATGATATTTTCACATACTCCTTTGTTTTGTGACTCATGTATTTGCAAAGTGATACATAATGGTATCGGTAATGAATTTGTATGTGACCGGCTTCATGTCAGTATATATGTTTATGTAGTTCTAATCTATTTATTTAAACATGTTTTGTTCTTCATAGATAAGTTTAATTACAAGTGATATCAACTTGTTATAGTGAAAAATACATAATTAGTATTGAGTAATCTATATTATAAACAAAAGTATAGGTTACTAGGGTAGTGAGAGGAGAGCAAACCTTAAATACTCTCTTCATACATCTCAATGTACCACGTCATACCGCATGCATTGAATACTATAACATTTATTTATTAATGTACACTTTTGATAACAAACCAATCAATAAGATAAAATTAAGAATTTATCATTAAACAGTAACAATCAAGCAACAAATAAAATATTTTCAGAAGATTTCGAAAGGTAAAACAAAGGAACGAATTTCAATATTTTTTTCCCTTGCAAATTGACAAATCTTATACATTGGCACGGATGCATATTCTTGTTGATAAATTACTCAGTAATAATTACAAGAAGACTTTTTCCAGAATTATTATTACCATCATCTATTAACTACCTACAAAAATGGAAATTTATTGTTCTTCAATCAGACGTTAAAGTACTTAAAAGAATGCATGGTATTTTTTTGTCCACTTCCAATAATCGAATCATCGATAATGGTATAAATAAATGAGTTGAAATTGTTGACTTTGGCCATGTTTTAAGCGGCCTCATCGTACATAAAATTATAACTTTCTAGCCAATACTACTCACCTATTGGCTATTATTGGTCGGTCATCCTACATAAAATTACTATGCATGCTACAAATTATTTGTTGTTTAATCTTAAGTGCTATGTGATTGGACTGATTACTTGAACTATTACATTCACTTACTTTGCCTAAAGTTTGCCTTTTTTAAAACAAAAATTATGTGACATTACTTTTCTTAAGTCACTATTTTACTTTCCAACAATAATAATCCTAATCTTTGGCTGATTAACTTGGATAATTAAACTTCATTTTCTTGGTTTCTAATTAATAGAAAAAGAGCTTTATAAGTTCATTATTGAAGCTTTGGGAATTTTAAGAAAATGACATATAACTTCGTATTAGAATATTAGGTGACTATATCATTCAACTCCACAAGGAAGGTAGAGCTTTATCCCAAGAAAAATTTACATTATTGATCAAACTCATTATAATTGTTGTATTAGTGTTTTGATTATGCATGTAATAATGCTGTAACCACTAATGTTTACGTTATCTATCTTTAAAAGTAATGAAAAATGTCACGTTCTCTGCCTAATTTGTTATCAAGGATCCTCCATAATGCATGTCACCAGCCTGACACTTGTGATAAGTGTCAGTCATCATCGATCTACACCATTAATTAAGTTACAAAGTGGGTAAAACCACACCTGTTTCGGGGTTTTTTGATGTTTTGCGGGAGAGTTACAAATCTAAGACTGACTTTTGGACGTATGTACCTGCAAAATAACGGAGACTCCTGTTGGTGGGAGCTCCGCCTCCAACGATCTAGTTAGAACGTGTATGAGGAGTTTAAGTGCGGAAAGTAAAGTCTCTCTTGGAGTCCAAGAGAGGATCAGCAATGTGAATTGCTCAGTTTTGGGGTGTCAGGTGACTAACTAGTTCTCTGCTTTGAGAGTAAATGTGTTTGGAAATATGTGAATAGGTGTTTCCTTGGGGGGAAACACCTTATTTATAGTCTAAAAGACTGTGCCCAATACTAGGTTTCTGGGAAACCTAGAACTGATTGGACTTGCCTGGGATATTGGGCCGCTGTAGACTGCTTCTCCTGACAGGCCTTTCTGTCTGCCACGTGTCGTGGCCTGATAGGTCCACTTTAGACCTCTCACAAGGTGGCACGTGGCGGACTCTAATTGGTCCACGTGGAGGCCACATGGCAACGCATGATTGGTTCACGTGGCGGGGAAAAATCCCCTAATCATTTGCCCCTCACAGGGGTGACGTGGTGTGCCACGTGGCGTCTGTGACAGATGTCACTTTTTGATTGGCTTACGGTTTTTACCGTTTTTTTTTTCTTTTTTTTTTTTTTTTTTTTTTTTTTTTTTTTTTACCCTGACCCTTGGAATTCACCCCCCTATAAATAGGGGATGTCCAAATCATTTCAAAGGATTACCGAACTTTTCAGACAATCAAAAACAGGACGCCTGCTTTGTCTTAAGAAGATATTCTACTGATTCCCTTGGACGACTGCTAACAGACCGACTACTTTTTAACTGCCGACTGTTTTACTGGCCGCTTGATTTTTCAACCTTCCAGAGTTGAACAATTTCCAGAGTTTTTCTAAAGGTAACTGACTGTTCCCTTTACTCTTCTTTTATTTTATTATTTTTCGAAAATGGTATCCCAAAAGCACCCGGCACGACTTAGGTTAGTGATCAGCCGGTCACCGGGGACGGCTGAATCTAGAACTAGGAGTGCCGACTGCCCCTTGCTGGACCACCCTTTGCGAACTAGGAGTCCGACTGTCTTCGTGTCTGTGCAGGACACCATGGCCAGAATCAAGAGAACGGCAAGAGTATCAAATTCAGACGGCTCTTCATATTACGTCCCTTTAAGTGAGGTTTCGGACGTACCGCCTGGTGCACCCAGCACCCCAAGCGACTCAATCTTAGAAGAGTCTGATGAGGGGGCTGAGGATGCGCCCCTCACTATTGACTTATCAAAACAGGCGACGGGTGCGCCTGTTTGCTCTAGTGACTCAGAGACGAGCACTTCCAATCGGCACTCGGCCGACTCCGAGGAGAAGCACTCTCGGCTTCGCGAAGCGAGAGAGAGTGTTGCTGTAGAGAGAGGAGACGACTGGGCTGAGCCGGCTGCTTCGCGAAGGGAGTCGCATACTCCCTACTTCTGCCATGTTCCAAGAGGCAGGGCCAAAACAATGGCTGAGAAGCTTGGGAGCTTTGTGTCTGAGCATTTTATGGGCCAAGGCTATATCCTTCATGTGCCGGATGCTGAGGATACAGTCGTCTGGCCAGAGAGGGCCAGTTATGGGGACGACTGCTTTGGCTGCTACGAGGCGGCCATCAGGGCTGGTCTGAGATTTCCTCTACATCCGGCTGAGAGAAGATTTTAGACGGTTACCAACTTGGCCTATGGTAGTTGGCCCCAAATTCCTGGTTCAATATTCTCGGCTATGTAGCCGCATGTGAAATGTATGGGGTGGACGCTAGTTTTGAAGCGTTTGCCCATATGAATTACCTAAACCGGACCCCAAAAGCAAGCGGTACCGGCTGGTATCAAATTTCCAGCCATAAAGGCTTTATGATGACTATGGGGAAGGAGAATAAATGGAAAGACTGGCGCAACACCTTCTTCATAGTCTCCAGTCCTAATAAAATCCAAAGCAAAAAATATAATAGGTGGAACAGAGATCCACCCCTCCTAGCAGGCGCCTCGGACCTGCCGCCTGTTCCTCAAAAGGCGAAGGAGGAAATCCTTGACAGTGGCCTGTTCCAGGTGATAATACAGGCGTACCCTGAAACAGGAATAAGGGAGTTCATTCCCAAATACTATATCCCCAAGTACAAATGGCTATATGATGGGGTGTACTTGGCCGCCTGTGGCCTGAGCGAACAGATGCCGAGAGGTAGCAGACTGCCTGTTTTTAGCGTCTTACTATACTTAGAACTTTTCTTGCTTACTAACCAATTTGTTCATCTTTTGCAGATATAGCTATGCAAAAGATCTCGGCATCAAAAAAGGCAGCTGCCCAGCTCCGAGCAGCCATTCTTGGCAAGAGGACGGCTGAAGAATCGCCAGCGAAACAGGCGCCTAAGGTGAGCCTTTGTGAATCACTTAGCTTGTAAGTACTTGCCGCCTGTTTCAAGATAATTGTTTTGAGTGTTGCATTTTTGTAGGGCTACGTTCCCAAACCATCCTCCTCGTCCCAGCCTGATCCTAAAATTAGGAAACAGGCGGCAGGTGACGTGTCGACTCCTTGTAATTCCAGGCAACCCGGGTCTGTGAAGCATGGAAGGACTCCCCAAGTGGGGCTAAGATCCTTGTTACCCCTGGTAGCAGCCGGATCCAAAAAGAAAAGGAGGCGACCAGAGGTATATTTGAAGTTTCTTTCATACTGTAGCCGCCTGTTTGAAACCAGGCGGTCTTTTGTTTTTATTGATGTAAACTAACCAGTGTCATTTTGCAGGCGCCCCTGAAGAGCCTGACTTGGTCTAGATGGCGAAGGCCATGCTGAGAGAAATCCCTGTTGAGGACAGGGAGGCTGTTAAGGGAGTCGGCACCCTTAACCTCGAAGCCATCCTCGCCCTCCTCGTCGAGGTATACTTGGCGAATTTTTGTCTTTGCAATTTTTTCTTTGCTTATGTATTTAGTTGCCTGTTTTACTGACGACTGCTTTTTGTTCGGCCGACTGCAGTCTATGCTGCAAGTGTATGGTCTCCGTAAGCCAATCAATGATAAAAACAAAGAGGTAAAAGCTGCGAAGGCCATGGCCGCCTCTGATTCAGATAAGGCTATGTTTCAAATAGCTCAGAATGAAGTCTTGACAACTGACATTCTGTATTCTCAGGCGTCAGCCAATGTGCAGGTCAAGAAGGACCTAGAGGCGGCCAAGAAAAAGATCCTGGATCTTGAGAAGGCCGTCTTTGACCTTAACGAGGAGATGACGACTCTTAAACAGGCGGAAAAGGATGCCAAGGATCTCCGCGAGCGGGTCGAGAAGCTCAAGGGCCGCCTGGCCAGCCGAAAGGCGGACCTCTCCCAGCAACTCACTGAGAAGGCCGAGGGGGAGAAGGCAGCTCTCGTCCAGGATATGATGGAGGACAGCACCACCATCATGAAGATGACCCGGGCTGCTCTCTTCCCTGATGCCGACTATGACAAATGGGATCGCCAATTTGCCGCATGCTCTGATGAATACAATAAACAAATCATGGAGGAAGCAGGCGGCGATGAGGACGCCGAGGGTGAGGAGTCCGACTCCACCGCTGGGGAGTCAAAACAGGAGGAGGCGGCTGGTGAGGAGGGGCCGGCGCAGGAGGGAGTGATTGCTGAGAAGGAGCCGTCCCGGTCTAGGTCCGAAGGTCAAGACCAGGCGGCTGTTGATGCACAACCTCCTGCTTAGATTTTAAGCTTATTTGTAAACTTTCCTTCGGCCTGCGTGCCGCATGTTTCATTACCCGACCAAGGGGTCGGGGTGTATCAACAATTTCTAATATTTTTAACATTTCAGTCGGTCATATGGCCGTCTGTTTTTATCACATATCCGACTATTTTGGTCGGTTTCTTTGGAATTTTGTTGCATGCTTGCATTTTCGCTTTTCACGAATTTTTTGCTAAGTGTTTGTAGCCTTTCTTCACGAATGTTTAGCATACCGACTGTTTAGTATACCGGCTGCTCTTGCCCCTGGGCGACTGGCGCCTGGTTTTCAAAGGTGTTTGATTGACTTGGAATTTTTGATACCTAATTCTGAGTCAATCAATCACTGGTGATTGCCTCAAACCAGGCGTCCAGTTGGCCAAATACCAGGCGTCTGGTTTCGCCCAAGACCAGTCGTCCATTTGGCTACGAAACAGGCGGATATTCATCCTTATTATACGCACAAGCTTTAATGGCCTACTGGACTCATTATTAGAATCGGACGACTGCCGAGCAAAACTCGATATTGATCCTTGTAAATAAAGTTAGGGGCCGCTTGTTCTCTTATCACTCGGATGTCGGCCTTAGTAGTATGCTGAGATTAGTCGGCTAAGGACCATGCGGCTAGTTTGGTGTAACTAGTCGTCCAGTCGGCCCTTTAAGCGATCCTAGTATACCTAGTTCATGTTGATTGCTTAAACTGTCCCTCTACTTGGGGCTTTGTGTAAAACAAGCGCCAATCAGGAAATTTTTTTGACCAACCTATGCTAGGGCGAGAGTGAACAAGAATTGTGGCCGTCTGCCGCCTGTTGCGGAAACCAGGCGGCCACTTTTGAGTCTTTCAGATTCCAATTAATTCAATGTATTGACTATGATTTGACCTTAGTAGGTTAAATCGGTCTTCGCCAATTTAGAATGAAATGTAAACAAGAGACGTAGGCGGACATGGCCGGCTGTTATCTCTTGTTGCAATCGTTACGCCGTTTATAGTTTCTCTTGTGGAAACAGGCGTTCTAGATTCCATTTGGAGGTGCCGCCTGTAGGATTACATGCGGTCACCTGGCTAATTAGATGTGGAATCATAGCCGAATGCCGACTGTTTGACAAAAAACACTCGGTCTTTCGCGCTCTTTAGGTAAGAAATTTGCGTTAAGTATGAGAAGCAGGCGGCGTAAGCCATAAGTTCCTTTTTATTTGCCAAGTGTTGTTTGACTATTTACCCAACTTAGAACGACTGGTGGTCAGGAGCCGTCTGTTTTCCAAAAAACAGGCGGTTTTGCTGGCCTTAAAAGTATTGGTGACCTGATGCCGCCTGTTTTTTCAGAAGACAGGCGGCCCTCAGGCCTCTTTTTCCTTTAAGGATAGAGGCTCTGGATCAATCTTGTGATTTGATCCATCTATGCCCCTAATTGAGTATTAGAGGCAGCAGGCGGCGGAGGCCACATGATCCCCTTGATTCGCCAAGTTTTGCTTGGCTATTAACTCAAATGAAATGCCGACTGCTCTTGTCCCAAGCAAATTCAGCCGACTTCTGACTCAGACTTGATGTATTTATCGCATGTTTTTCAAAGACAGCGGCATGTTTTGTCTTTGCCTCATGTCAAACAACCTCGAGGTTCAGGGGACCACTTTGGTGGGCCGTTTATTTTGTTTATAGAGCAATATTCCACCGGGAGGGGCGTTGCTCTCTGCGACGAATTCACCCGGATGGATGTCGCCGGACGCCTGCTTTGTTTTGAGACAGACGTATTTTTTTAATTTTTAAAGGATCATCCGGTCATAGGCCTTAGGTTGATCATTCGGCCCGTGGCCTTGGTGAGTTGTTCAGAGAACAAAGGTTGCTAGGTTGTCAAGACTTAGCAATTTTTGCTCTTTGAGTTCGTAATAATAATTTGTTCTGAGAACAGTCGGCTTGCCCCACATAGGAGACTTTTAGGACGATTGTTAAACAGGCGAATTGTCCAACTGGGAGGACTAATAAGGCCGACTGTAATGCAGTCGGATTATCCTACTGAGAGGACTTATTAGACCGACTATATTGCAGACCGACTGAAGAGACATTAAAATTGATAAGTTGCAAATTCTTATTGATATAATCACAAAATTTACAATTCTCAGAAGTAGTATTTTTTCAAATTGTCTACGTTCCAAGTTCTAGCTAGCTGCCTGCCGTCTGGTGTTTCCAGACGATAGGTGCCGCCTCTGATTTCTTCACAGATTCGGTAGGGGCCATCCTAGTTAGGGGTCAGCTTGCGCTGCTCGTTGGCCCTACCGACTGCTTCCATCTTTCTAAGTACAAAGTCCCCTACTTTTAGGGGCCGCTTGTGCATTCTCCTGTTATAGGCTCTCGTCATTCTAAGACGATAGATCTCGTGACGTAAGGCTCCATTGCCCCTGCGCTCTGGAAGTTCATCCAACGCTAGGCGCATGGCTTCCCAGTTGGCCTCTTCGTCATAAAGCATGACTCAAAGAGTCGGCTCATAATGCTCAATTGGTAACACAACCTCTGCCCTGTAGACCATTAGAAACGGAGTTTCACCAGTCGCCCCTTTTTCAGTTGTCTTGATGGCCCACAGAACATGCGATACGTCAGCCCATAGGCCGCCTGCTTTTTCTATTTTCTTTTTTATGCCATCAGAGATCAACTTGTTGAAGGCCTCTACCTGGCCGTTTGCTTGCGGACGGCCGACTGATGCAAAGCAATGAGAGATTCCTTGGTCTCCCAACTAGTTTGTGAGAGCAGGCGTCTCAAATTGAGGTCCATTGTCAAAGACCATTGACATGGGAACCCCATAACGAGTGATGACATTTCTCCAAATGAAGGAGATGACATCTTTGGTCTTGATGCCTTTGACTGCCTCGGCCTCTACCCACTTAGTGAAGTAGTCGACTGCTACCAATATATATCTTCGTCCGCCTGTAGCAGGCGTATGAGGACCAAGTATGTCCATGCCTCATTTGGCGAATGGTACTGGGCTATGGATAACCGTCAGGTCAGTAGCCGGACGATGGATAAGTTTTCCAAACCTTTGACACTTGTCACATTTTTTAACCATCTCCATAGCGTCTGCTTCTAGGGTAGGCCAGAAGTAGCCTTGCCGCCTGGCTCTCCTTGCAAGCATCCTGCCGCCTATATGGGAGGCGTAGAACCCAGAATACAAGTCCTCTAGGACCTCTCGGCCCTTTTCTGGGGTAACACATTTCAAGAGAGGTTGTAGATATCCCTTTTTGAAGAGTTCCCCTTGGTGAATCTCAAAGTTGGACGCACGCTTTTTTATTACAATCATTTCTGGGTAGGCATCCGGCAGGGTGCCGTCTGTTAAATATGCCTGGATGGGATCCATCCAAGTGGAGTTGCGATCAAGGACTCCAATGGGATCCTCATCGATGCTTCTCCTTTCCATTACTTCCCAGAAAACAGATCTTGGTGTGTCACAGGAGGCGGATGATGCCAATTTGGAAAGGGCATCCGCCTAGTTATTCTCAAACCTGGGCACTTGACTAAGATGAAATTCTTCAAGTGTCCCGGCCTCCTCTTTTACCGCCTGCAGATACTTGACCATAGCCGGGTGGGTGGCTTCATAGTCACCATGGTACTGGCTTACGATCAGTTGTGAATCAGAACAGGCGTCCACTTTCTTTGCCCCAGCCGCCTTACACATGCGGATGCCGGCTAATAGAGCTTCATACTCGGCCTCATTGTTTGGGCCTGGAATTTGAAGCGTAGTGCATACTCGTACTTGTCCCCTTCTGGAGACTGGCATATGACGCCTGCACCACAGCCGGTCATTGTGGAGCTCCCGTCCACAAAGACCTTCCAGACTTGGTCTGAATTGCAAGGATCAAGCGGCCTGGTCATTTCAACAATGAAGTCGGCAAGTGCCCGCCCTTTCACTGCTTTCCTTGGCTCAAATGTGATTTCCAAGCTTTAAATTTCAATCGCCCACTTTATCATCCGGCCGGACGACTCCATGGTTGTTAAACGTCGTTTGATTGGTTGATCAGTGTATACCACGACCGAGTGTGCCAAGAAGTAGGATTTTAACTTCTTGACTGCCATGTAGAGGGACAGACCAAACTTTTCAACCATGGGGTACCGCAACTCAACATTCTTCAATACATGGCTAATGAAGTAAACAGGAATTTGACAGCCGTCCCTTTCAGCAAGGAGAACGGCACTGACCGCATGATCAGAGACGACCAAATACATGTACAACACTTCCTTGGCCAGAGGGCTGACAAGCCTTGGCAAAGAGTGCAAATGTTCTTTTAACTTTTGGAAGGCCGCCTCTGCATCCGGCCCCCATTCGAACATAGCCTTCTTTTTGATTGCTTGGAAGAAATAGAGGCATTTATCGCCTGATCGGCTGAGGAATCTCCCCAATGCCACCAGACAACCCGTTAATTTCTGAACTTCTTTTACAGTGCGGGGCGACTGCATGTCTATAACCGCCTGTATTTTTTCAGGATTTGCCTCTATCCCTCTTTGGTCAATCAAAAATCCGAGGAACTTCCCAGACTCAACACCAAAGACACATTTTTTAGGATTGAGCATGACATGGTGCCGCCTGAGTGTGGTGAATGTTTCTCGGAGGTCTGCTAGGTGGTCCGTCTGAAGTTTAGATTTGACTATCATATCGTCGATATACGCTTCCACATTCCTTCCAATTTGATTGAAGAAGACAGAATTAATAATTCTCTGGAAGGTAGCAGGCGCATTCTTCAGACCAAACGGCATCACCGTATAACAAAATAGCCCTGATCAGTGACAAAAGCTGTCTTTTCTTGATCCTTCTTCCATAGGGGTATTTGGTGGAAGCCTGAGTAGGCGTCCATAAAACTCATCAAGGCATGGCCGGCTGTAGAGTCGACCAGGCTATCAATTTTTGGGAGAGGATAGCTATCTTTTAGACATGCCTTGTTCAAGTTTGTGTAGTCCACACACATGCGCCAAGTTCCATTCGGCTTCTTTACTAGAACAACGT